TAATTAGACAGTCTGAAAAATTGTAAAGCTTTGAGCTCAAATTCAACACAGAGGCGAAGCACAGTCTCATAATGTATGTGACACAACACAAAAACAGCATGACAAAACAGCAGCCAGAAATTGAGACAAAAACTTTGAAAAAGTCGAGAAAAACAAGATCAACCAAACAATTCAATGCTTTGCCTTGAGTTAAGTTCGTTCACCCTCTTAAAAACAAATTAACTGAAAAAATTAAAATTGAAAAAAAAATACTAAAGCGGACAATTTTTGAGCAGAAAAACACCTCTCCTAGAACAAGCTGAAAATTTTCCAAATATTTTAAATTACCCTCTCAAAAGACTCACATGCATAGTAAATTTGTTTCGCTCATCCAACAATGCAATAGGATGTCACAAAACCGATTCAGTAAAAACTAAAAAAAAAGAAATTAAGTCACAAAAAACAAGAAAAAAGGAAAAAAGTATTGAGGTTAGAAACAGATGTTGAATAGAACGGGTATTTGAAAAGAAAACATCCAAAATATGTCTGTTGGTAAAAAAAAATGATTCAGTAAAATTGCTGGACAAATTGTTTACAAAAACAATATCTGTTCGAAATGATAACGCTTGCTTATCGCGAGTACAATCATCGCACACATAATAATTTTGTGCAAAATTTTTTTAAAAGTTATATTTCATTTTAAAAAAATTATATTAAAAGTTTTTCAAAAAGTTCAAGTCAAAATTCCAGCGGGGTTTTAGAATTGGTATCCACGAAATTAGACGGAAATTGAATTTTCAAAGAGAGTCCGACAGGCCCATTGTCGACCATTTTGTCGGCTCAAGCGTTTGTGATCTTAAGCTGGTATGTTAACTCTACGCCAGATAGGCTGGGTGCTTGATTGAATATGAAATTAATATACAGCAAAATAAAATATCTGCAACATCTTGTAAACAAAGTCGCTTACGACAAAAAAAAGTGTACACCCGTTTGCACTACCTTTGCCTAGCGCAAGGGTAAAACAATCACTTATCATCAATTGCAAAGCTTTTGATTTTTCTTAAAATGTAAGATTGGTTAAATTTTGATAACTAATGTGCTTGTTTACCAGAAATTATTGACGCGCAGCATAACAGTATGACTGTATGTTGCCTCATAATAGTATGAAAAGATATTAAAATTAAAATGTTTTTTTTTGAAATCGATCTCTGGTAGTACATATCTTCATTGGTGCACATTTTTTTTAAAATCTAATTTTTTAATATCGTCAAAGTTTATTTGAATAAAAAAACCAACACAAGCATTTATACTCCATTTCTTAAATCGAAAGTTTGAGCAAATCACGAAGTAGCTTGTTTCAATTCAATTGTGATCGTATTTGAGTGTGAAATGACTCTCCAGGCTTAAATAGTATGTGATATCAATATCACAGGAAAATTTTTCAAATTCACTTAAATTAGTACGCAAATTTAACCAAAATGACCGTTTTCAAACGCCCAGATTTTTAACAAAAAGAAATTGTGTTTAAAAAAAAACTTTTCAGTTTTAAACGCCGGGAGTCAATATATTTATTAGGCTATAAAAATGATTTGCTAGAACTTGTTATATTTGAAATAATTGTTCTGAGTAAAAACAACCACAGCAAGCATATGAGTTTTTTTACCAAGCATATGAGTTTTTTTTACCATATGAGGTGATTAAAATGATCAGTTATCTTGACATATTTCAACTTGGGATGAGAATGGATGAAGGATAATTTGGCAAAACGAAGCCTTTTGCATCTACGTTCTACGTTTTAATATCTGTAAATATATAAATAAACTGTAAGAAATTTGCTTTGATTCAAGAATAGTTGTTAATTAGCAAACTTAGTTCCGAAATTTTTTTGAAAATGATTGCAGGTGGTATAACTTTGTGAATTTGATTTATCAATATGTTTATTTGGGGAAAAAATAATCTGTGAAAAATATCGCTTCAATTGTTGAAACTAGTTTCAATAAAATTAACCCATGCATAAGTAATACCATTAATTTTTTTTGAAAGTTGCAACAAACAAATATTTTATTATAAGTCTGCAATATAAACCCAGAAGCAGTCATATAATATGCAACAGAAATTTAACACTTTCTAACATGAGGTGTAGCTACTGTTTTTGCAAATGTGAAAAACTGCTTGAAGAAACAAGATGAACTGTTGGGAGTCTTGGCAGCTTATTTTCTTAAACTGTCGTCAGGTTTCTGATTTAATCTTAGGGAGTTTAATCCAATGATTCCAAAATTGATCCCACGTAGTTAATTTTTTTGTCAAAATGATCTGTATATATAAACCAACACTAGCATCAGGGGCGGCTCTAGGATTTTCTCGAGGGGGGGGGGGGGGGTTAGCAGATTTAAAAAAATTGAAATTTTTGTCGACCTTTTTCTTTTTCAGGTCGACCAAATTGATTTTTTGAGCTATCCCAAAGCACTGCAAGACCCTGTTTTGCCCGAAATTTCTGCGCCGCAGGCAGAATTTCGAAAAAACAGGCCAAAAAAGCGTTTTTTGGCCACTTTTTTGGAAAAATTTCACCAAAAAATTGTGTTTTTTCGGCGCGCGCTCCCCCCTCAAGACTAGTATATGTTGGCGCCAAAGGTGCCTTCAGAAAAATTTTAAGGTCCGTCACCAAAAACGGAGATCTCAAAATAGTACAAAGGGGGTATCCTTTGTGTCGGCGAGGTGTCGAATTCCTGAGGGGGGAGAGAGGGGAAGGGGGCGTCTGCTACCCGCCCCCTCTAAATCCGCCCCTGACTAGCATGAATATTTGAAAGTCGGAAAAATTATCACATCATTTTGTACTTGACTTTGCGTGAAGGGGTGCGTAGGGAGATTTTCTTTTTATATTCTTGAATAATATCTTTTTTTAATAAACTGCGTCAGATACTTTCACAGGCTGCTGACACTGATGCAAGATTTTTTTTGCGCTTGGCATTGCGCGTTGACGTTTTTGAATTTTTGTTGTGACCATTGAAAATGGGGAGGAACTTTGTATTCGGGAGTGCTTTAGTTTTTTCTTTTTCTTTTCCATACAAAATCAGCTACCACAATTAATCATTGGACTGGGTTGAGAGATAAATCATATTAAAGCCCTTTCAGTCTTGATTCGAACGACATTAAAAAATTTCATCTTTTTTCATAGAGTGAGCAGACTTCCATTAATTTATTTATGCTTAATCTTAGGAATCAAAAACATAAAGATATTGGGAGAAAAAATTTGAAAAAAAAATTATAATTTCGTTTTATTTTTTTGTTTTTCTTGTTATTTGTATTTGTCATCAAAAATTGTTTTCCGATTTACGTATTTTACAATGACTGACAAAAATGCCTAAGTTCTTTTTTTTCGCTCAGATTCTTTTATCACACCACGCCGAAAAAACTACACTAATTTGAAAATATAATTTTGTTGTATTTTTTAAGACTGGTCGGAACATTCTGTGCTACTTGCTCAGTAACCAGCTATCCTTGCTTCACATTTTTTTAAAATATAATTAAAACATTTCTGGACAAAACTTCATCAGACTTGTCAAAAGGCAGTCCAATGGATCATTTTTTGTGTTGCCTTGATACAAACAGATTTGTTTTAGTTGGCGAATGGTGTTTCAAGTTTCCTCATAATTAAAACTACAAAAAAAAATCAAGGACCCGTATTTGGGAAAGTTGTCATGGTACTTGAGTTATCACAAAAATGCCCAGTTTTGATAAAAACTTTTAAAAAACGCAGTGACCTTTGAAATTTTTGATTGAGTAATCTCTGCATTTTTTTATAGATTCGAGTGTTAATTTGTCACTCTTAACAATCTTTGCCAAGATAATGAAATGCAGAAAATCAGAGGTCAGATATAATCTTATCATACATTTTACTGTTATTTTATTACTATTTAAGTTGATTTTAAAATAGTTCAAATTCTATTCACACTTCCGGTTGTTTTCCAAGGTTTTGTGTATCCAGGAACCATAGACATAACTCTTGTTTTTAGAGTCCCAAAATCGACAAAATCTGTTTTCTGTTTAAATTAGAAGAGAACAGTTTTACGATTTAAACGTGTTAAGCTGTCCATAATAAACTAGACATTTTTAGGATCCGTTTTCTGTTACCTTTTTTGCCGGCGGGATATTTATTGGAATCGTCCTGTATCCTAAAAACAGTTCTTAAGCCCTGACAATAAAATAACCAAAAGCACTCGGTTGACTTGGCAAATATTTCCGCCAAATGACTGCCCGTTAGCTATGAGTTGTGACATTTTGGTGAACAAATAACTTGAATAAACTTCAGATTTTATTAAAAACTCAGAATGGTTGAGAATGATAGAAGTTTGATATCTTGATAGATTGGGCAAAGAGCAGACGCAACGATGGGCATAAACTTCAATACATTTTTAAACGGCGCAAAATCTGTTAAATCTTCTCTGTTTAATATAATACTCTCGAGATTGAAAAATTAACACGACTAAAATAAGTTTCTTCGTTTTGGAAGCTCATCTCATTATTCAAAAATGTTAATTTAAAGCTGATTTATTCATTGTACTTACTGCAATTCTAATTATACATGACCGTTTAATTTAGTAGCTTCAACCTGGAACAGGTAAAGTTTATTTTAAAAACACCGCTCTAAGACGCAAATCAAACGCTGATTAAAGATTGGTGTGTCCGTAAATGTAAAATAACATATTTTTCCAGGATTTAACACCAAAACTTGCCAATTGACCGAATGCTAAATTAAAAGAATCATTAATTAACAATTTATTTGAAACAAAACTCCATGAGAAGTTCTGTAACAGTAAGTTTTGATTAAAAAGACTTTTTCAAACACTTTATTGCCAAATTGTTGGCTGTTTTCTCAGTTTGTTTCACAGAATTCGTTCTGTTTGATTTCGGATTTAACTGGGTTCGGTTTGGGAGGGGCATCTTCATCGATATGTCTCGTGCTCCTTGACAAACACAAATCTCGGATTAGAGATTTATCAGAGAACAAAGCAGAATGGAATTTGACTTTGAGGCCACTTAACTTACCTTTGGAAAGGTATAAAATAATTACTTAAACGCTTTCAACTTATCAATTCAAATAGCTATTTCTGAAGGATATAAGTCACCGCCGTGTTCTATATGGCTGGCTAATAAATGGCTCTTGCCAAATGTTATTTGTGGTCTTTTTTTTCTGTTTCTTTTATTTTCAAGTCGGTTACAAATTTTGGGAGACAAATATTAGTTCAATAATAATTTCTGATCCCAACAGGCATGTTGAAATGCAAACAAAACAAAGCAGAGTTGGAATTCAGTCTATAAAAAGCAACTAAAAAAACAAAAAAAAATGCTTCATTAGAGTCGGCTGTTCAGTTTTTCGAGAATGGTAAGTGAACTTTCTTAACCTTACACTTGTGCAGAGGCGGATCTAGGATTTTTTGAGGAGGAATTATTTCATTTGACAAAAACTGCACAAAAAATTCAATTTTGCCTCATCCGCAACTAGTATTGATTTTAAAAAACCTCCCGTTTTTGAAGACTTTTATTTTGTGAAGGGAAAAAACACTGAAGTCTCCCAGGCTACAATTATCAGTGCAAACTAAATTGACAAAATTAGTGCTTCATTAGCGGGCGCGCTTGAAAAAAATCGTCCGCAATTACAAATTAGTACTAAATTGTATAACTATAATTTGCTTAAGCCAACTAATAGCCTGAGTGCCAAAAAAACATACCTGATTGTATGAAGGGCAAATGCTTAAACTATTTTGGGCCCTGGTAGCATTTCTATTTAGTCAATCAAACAGAGAGAAGTTGTTTTTGCACATTTTTTAATTATGTAGTTATGCTGTTTGTTCCATCAACATACAACTTTCGGCGCGTGTCAAGATTTCTTTTTAATACCTAAGATTTTGACATTTTGATAGGTGTTTGCGATGAGTTAAATAGACGTATCTTACGTTTCTTACTAAATTTGTTGGGCTAACTTCTCAACCAACGATAGAAAAATTTTTAACCATCAGGATTTTTGCATTCCCGGGTTGAGTTCACATAGAAAATTAAAAAAAAAAACAGAAAAGTGAAAAAAAAACAGCGATCACCATTGATGAATTATTGATGTTCATTGCCACAAAATCAAATTTTATTGATAGATTATCGCTAATTTGGCTATTTTTCAGCGATGAAACAGCGATAAAAAACCTATCAAAATGAGCAAAAAGAGCGAACTACCGGCAATCGATCACTAGCCCATCAGCTTATTGGACATTTATGCTACCTTTGCGCCACGAACCCTTAGATATATATTTTAAGCATAAGGGTTTATAAACTCACACTCTCATTTGAAAGCTGTTAGAATTTTCTAAGTTTTAGCGCAGATTTTCTACGGAATCATTGTCGAAATAGCTCTGAATATCGCTGGTTTAGCTATGCAAAAAAGTCTGAGTTACACAGGAATCAGGGCTGGAATACTACAGAAAAAGCGATAACTAACAGTGGGACTTCAACCCGGGATAATCCTATAAATAAAAAAATATTAAACCTTTGTTTTTCTCTGTCCGATTTTGGCTGCCTCAAATAAGCTGGAAGGCATCCAGGGTGATAAAACAATACTTGTCGATATACGGATTTTAAAAAGCTGGTTCGGTATCAAGAAAAACGGGTCTGCATTTTTTAAGAGAGTATTTTTAGTCAGGAAAGAAAGTTCAGACTGAATTTTTATTCTATTTATGTTGTGATTTGTCCAATATTAGTCTACTTTTAACTGGTTCTGACATTTCAGTCAACTCTTACTTATAAAAAAAACAAACAAAAAAAATCCCATAAGATCAAAACTATTAGAAAAGATGAAAAAATGTCAATTAAAATTTTTTTTCTTTGCTAGTTTTTTTTTTTAAAAGAAGATAATTTTTGCCAACTACGGTTTTTATTCTCACAACAATCTTCGATGAACACAAAGATTTATAATTTTTACAAAAAATGTCTGTCATCTTACTCATTGGTAATGTTTTCAACTTCTATCGCGTTTTTGTATGGTATTGGGCCAGTTGCGGATCTAGGATTTTCACGAGGGAGGGGGGCGATTCGAAAATTTTTTCGACCTTTTTTCAGGTTGACTGAATTGATTTTCCGAACTCTCCCAGAGCAGTAAAAACGCCCTGTTTTTTCACCTAAAAAACAAGCCAAACAATACGTTTTTAGGCTCTCACTGGAAACTTTTGACCAATAAAATGCGTTTTTTTTGGCGCGCGCTCCCCCCTCAAAACTAGTAAATATTGGCGCCCAAGGCGCTTTTAGAAAAAATTTCAGGATCCATCAGCCAAAGATAGATATCTCAAATTAGTTCAAAAGGGGGACTCTTTGGGTCGGCAGAGGATCGAGTCCCTGAGGAGGGAAAAGGAATCCCCCCTACATCCGCTAGTGTATTGGGCGTTTGAAAAATGAATTAAATGATACGTGCGTTTTCTCCATTGTTCTCAAAAGCAAATATTGCAGACCGGAAAAAAATCTCTATTGATTTGAGCAAATTAATTGGTTCCAAAAGTGTGTTAATTGCCCATCCCTTGGCGCTTGCCATAGCGGGTGAGTATTGAATGTTCAATATGTGATGACGTTATTTTTGTGTTATAGTTTTTTTTAAATGCCAAAGCATGAACTTAAAAACTATAACACAAAAATTTTTTTTTTACGAGACTCTTAAAACACTCGGTAAAAGTGCTTGCTTACGTTCTGCACCCTGATTTGAGCGTTTTTTTGGGCTGATTAAGAAACAAATATATTGAAAAAATCAAAAAAAGAGATTGCAAAGAAAAGTAATAGAAAAGTTTTAGAATTATTGAAAAACGCAACAGTTTTTGTTGCTGCAGTTTTCGGGCGGGGTACTTCTGGATACTTTTATTTATCCCCTCCCCACTCCTCACACAAACACCAAAATGGATACATTTTTGGAAGCGTGAAAGTGAAGCATCACATTTTTCTTACCTTAAACACCTTGGTTACCTTGGTTACCTTAGTTAACGAGTTACCGGAGCTGTTACTCAGAGCATTACACCAATTTGAAAAATTGCAAAACTTCAAAAAATGAACGACACATACCGGATTCCATGTGGGCTCTCATTTGTGCGAATTTACACAGAAAAAAGACAAAAAATGGTTAAAAACTCAACTTCACCATTTCAAAGGACATTGCTTCATTTTGGCACGCCCCAGTTTAGCCACTGTAAAATTCTTTTTCCTTCTTCATAGTTATATGAGCATGTCCGAAAAGAGCTGGCTTTTCCCAAAAGGGGTGTTATGAAATGAATACATATACTCATTGCTCTGTTTTTATTGTTTTCCGTGTTCAGAAGTTCATTTGCAACACAGATTGGCTCAAAGTAATTGCCTCTGTTTGAAGTTATTTTGAACAGATGCTCTTTTTCAATTCCTTTTTCAAAAATTGCGATATAATATAGCTCCATTATAAATAAAGTTCTTCAAAAAACGCTAGAATTTTTTTTTACACCTTATGAAAATCAAAATATTGAAAAATATTTGTTTTAAATTGCAAACATTAGCATGCAGTTCCGGGATGAGGCAAAATAAACCGAACAAGAAGGCAAAACAATACCAGCTCGGCCACCACCAGACAGCTTAAAGAGCCTTCAAAAGCTCTACAAGGTGTTTCAGATAGATATAATGAGTATTACGCCATTTAGTTTCACGAAGAATCACCCTACGAAAAAACCTTTTTCGGGAAAAAACCTGCCCAAGATTTGTCATTTTGTGCCAATGAGTCAACGATTAAATTCAACATCTTTTTCACACAGTTTTTGCAGTTTAATGAGTTTTCACTGCATTTTGTGCTGAACAAGATATTATAGTGCTGAATTAAAACAACCGGATGAAATGAACTAAAATTGAATTTTTAATGGACTGCATTTTTCGCACACTTGTTGGGTTGCGGTGGGGAGAAACTTCGTTAAGGTGGGGAAAGTTCAATGAACTCCAGATGGGGACGAGTGGTATGTTTTAATGAATGAATTATGCTTTAATTTCACTCATAGCTCTGTCGAGCTCTACAAACTTAATACAATAAGAATGGCTCTGACGTGTTTGCTTTGAAACCTAAATCAGAGCGCAGATAGGGAGGGACTATTTAGGTTTCAAAGCAGACACTTGAGAGCCATTCTTATTGTATTAAGTTTGTGGAGCTCGACAGCTATGAGTGAAATGGCTTCATTAAAACATACAACTCGACCCCATCTAAAGTTCATTGAACTTTCCCCACCTTAACGAAGTTTCTCCCCACCGCAACCCAACAAGTGTGCGAAAAATGCAGTCCATTAAAAATTCAATTTTAGTTCATTTCATCCGGTTGTTTTAATTCAGCACTATAATATCTTGTTCAGCACAAAATGCAGTGAAAACTCATTAAACTGCAAAAAAAAAACGTGTAAAAAAGTTGTTGAATTTAATCTTTGATTCATTGGCACAAAATGACCACCGTCAGAAATGAGCACCGTCAGAGCTCTCTTAGTGTGACAGCATCTCAATTATTGGACCACGCCTCTCTAATTTGTTTTCAGATGCATGTTTTCGGTTGTAGATTTGCAAAAGATTTGTGCCAATAAAGTTATTCACTTGAATGTGACATCATCGGGCTAATTTCCGGCTTTCAAAATTCGTTTTTTTCCTCGAATCGATAGGCCTCTGAACAGTATCGCTATTGAGGCGCCTTTGCGTCGAAAACTTCAAAATTTCTGCTAGACAATTTCATTCTTCAATAATCTCCAAGATAATTGAATTCGTCTAAATTGTCCTGTCAGTTTGACCTCACTTTTTTCACTCTAATTGGTCTTTTCAAATTAATGTAATTGGAAAACGAAATGAGCTGAAACCTTTCACCAGATAAATTGCGGAAAATTAGAGTAAATACGTGCTTCCCATACTAACGCTTCCTTAGAGAGAAAGAATTAGTTTCGACTTAAGCTAAGAATAGTTGTCTTGGGAAAAAGCAATTTTTTAGTTGCCGTAGGAAGTTAGCAAGCATACACAAGAGTGGAGGTTTGAAGCAAAAGCAGAGCTTTTTTCCAAATTGGCTTCCTTTTTAAACTAGTTTTGTCGATATTTTGATGAAACTGTTTTTGTTTTAGCTAGTGGAACACGTCATGGCAATCTTCTCGGCATTGGCAATCTTCTATTATGACGCCTGATTAAAAGCAACAAATTCTATCTGCTACCCATTAATAGAAAAGCCCACCATCCAAAAAGAAACAATATAAATCTCCGACTTTGTCTAATAAGACGGCCTTTAATCCCGGCCATTTCTTTTTTAATTCTTTTTCCTGCGATTTCCCCATATTATTACCATTCAACAAAACCCACATTTTTCGAACCAATCGCTTTTTTCAGAGCTGCGATGGTCTAACATTGTAACAAATCAGAAAAAAAACACCTTACCAGTGGCCAATCACAAGAACTTATATTCAAACACTCCGCGGATTACCATTTTGAAAGCTGAAATACTAAACAAGCATCGATAGAATGTTACTAAAGAACGATTCAAGCATTATTGCCTCCCCTTTTTCGTTCCCTTCTACCGTTCAAAACGTATCCCAGATGGACGACGACCCGAATAAAACTTCCCTCGTCGACTGCTCGTCGTGGGAACACATCAATCCGAATGAGAGCATCGAGCTAGCTTACCAAATTGCGCGAGCAGCAGTCGGGATTTTTGCAATGATTGGCAACCTGCTGATTATTCTCTCAGTGATTCGTTTTAACTACTTAAAGAAAGCCTCCGCGTATTACCTCTGTAACATGGCTTTAGCCGACTTTCTGCTCGGTTTCGTGGGTGCGACGTATTATTTACGAGTGAGTTATTTTTCGAAAACGAGTCAAATCACTCGGAATCTCAGCTTCGTCGTGCATAACTTCGCCGTGCTGCACAGCATGTCGAGTATGGTGATTGTTGCGGCCGATAGATTCAGTTACATTTGCCACCCGCTAACATATGAGGCGAAAATCTTCGCAACCCGACCCTATCTGTTCATAATTGTGTCTCTCGTTTGGACCACTGTGTTGATTTGTGCACTGACCTATCTGTTTGTGAACCACATTCACATAATGATAAAGTACGGATCTTTTTTCGACCTCGGTGAGTAACTTTTTCACTCTGCTTCAGTTGTTAACTTATCCCAATTTAACCATGCTAGAAATTCCAGATTTTATTTTCAGTTTAAGAATGTTTTATGTCTCAGAGTATCACATACAATATTTCAAATGAAGTTTTGACGACGTCATTTTTTGACTTTCAGTCAAGACTTAAAATTTGTTAACCATTTGAGCTAATATTGCAAGACTACCTACTCCAGATCTACATGATTATAACCGAGAAGTCTTCACCATTTTTTTCTGGTGATATCACCACCAGAGCTCCGCTTCTTCGTAATTGAATTATATATTTTCAATCAACTGGCAATCAATAATCATCTTTGAAAAGCTGGTGCTCCAGTTGATCGTGTTTTTTAGACGATAAACAAACAGCAGCTGATAAGTCTCAGTGTTTTAGGCTTATTCGAATGACATCATGGAAAAAATATTAAGCTTACTTTAAATACTCGAAAAAAAGTTATAACCTATATATTATAAAGATATAAATATACAAGAGCAGATACATAACTGTCAGTGGTACAGCTTATTATTGCAATTCCAAAGATGTTTTTTTTGCAGCAGCTTTCCAATTGGGGTTGATTGACGGGCGTAGGAAGCTGTGTGTACTGACAAAAACTGCGAAGTTGAGCGAACTTTGCATTCCGTCACGTTAAAGAAAACAAAGTTCGACATGTTATAAAAAACAATCAAATAAATAAATAAATTGAAACTGCTTTTTTCTCTTGAAAAATGTTGCAGAGCCTTTTAAACTAATTCAAACAAAATTTTTAATAATATATTGTTTTCTTTATTCAACATTATGGGGCGATTGAATGAAGCACAAAATGACCCATTTTGAGTCCACAACGCATTAGGAAGATCAAATTGTTTGCCTCAGATCAATTCGGAATGGTTTACTTCGCCAGTTAAGTATCTCAAATTGACCAAACTGCAATTCTTTTGCACCCATAACTTTAAGAAAAATTGTCGCAAGTAAAATATCTTTTAAATTCGAGCTCATCATAACAATAATTTCCGAATGGTATAAAAAACTTGATCAAAAATCACTAGTTACAACGAATTTTGTCAAGAGGAAAAAACTACCCCGATCACAAATAAACTGTCACTTTTTTCGAAAGTTGGAACAGAAATTTTAAATATATAATCTTTCTCAACATGTAATACATCTGATCAAATCACAGATTTGAGCTGAGAAGACCATACTTGGATCAGATTGGCTCGAGAGCAAAATGGGTCCAAGAACAAAACAAGCCAAACACAGAGGCAAAGATGAGCTTCGCACCACTTTCGACACAAAAAATCACCGAATCGTAGAAAAAATTGAAAAAATGCCGAAAAACAAAACCCTAGATTTTCATATGCTTGTCTCAAAATGAAACTCATTTTGATTAAAACCTGTGGCGGAACAAACAGCGAGTATTGCACTGGCATAAAACTACCAAGCGGTAGCTACGCAGCCAACATTGCGATAAAGGGTCATTAAGAAATCCAAACGTGTGACTCTTCAAATGCAAATAATGTAGAGAAATTTTAAATATTGTTATTAACTGATGTGCCATCAACTTGAATCGAGTAGCAATAAAAGTTCTCAGACATCACCAAAAATTAGAACAAGAAATTGCTCTAAACTAAGTCCTAACAAAATAGGACAAAAAAATCAAAAAAATGCTGGTGAAAAAACTGTCTTCTATTTCATTTTTTTGGCCATCAAAAATTGCTAGAAATAAAAACGAGACATCTATGTTATTTATCGTTCTACAAATATATATAAGCTGGAAAACGCTTCAAGCAAACTCAGAAACCGACGAAAAGTATATCAAGAAAATAGCTAGTAAACTCAAAGCTTCAGTTTTTTTCGCTAAAACAATTATGATAAAAACAGCAAGTCGCTCTAGAAAACCGAGCGAAAAATCCGAGCAAAGCTGTATTAAAAAAAAGAACTCAAAAATTTGAAAAAAAAAACATCGAAAACGTTTGCAAGATTTTTTCTAACTTGTTCCAAAGAAGTTTTAAAAAATTCAAACCTCAAACATACCTCGTTAAGATTCAAATCATAACAAAAATGACTGGAAAGTAAATATATAAGCCGACAGAATTAAAGCGGATACTTAATGAGCTGGAAAACTGCCGAAATATTTTCATTGAAAAAAACCTACAAACAAATCGGGCATCTACCACTTGCAAGGCAAGCTCTAGCCCTATATAGGCAAAACACCTAAAAAGCGTCTCTGTAAATTTACCGTTTTGATCTTGCTTCAAAATGTACCGTTCTATGATCAAAATTATTTACGGAAAAGAATGTCTAGTACCCGGTTGCAATACCCTTGCTTATCACAATGGTAACAAAATAAGCTACAATTAGCAGACTGTTTTTTCGAAACTATTAAGAGTTTGCTGTGATAACTAGTTTAATAAAACATTTTGGGTTGTTTTTGTGTTTTCATCCAAAAATGGGAATTTCAAAAAATAATTCAGTCCGCAAAAGTTTTGAGTTACTTTAGTTTTAAATGAAGTAAATGATAGACTAATTAAGCCATCAGACTGCATTTGTTCTGCTCTTGACACTGGCATCTCTAACATTTTTTAAAATGTTGCAGCAGCATGGCTTTAGAGCTCATGCTCAAAAAAAAAAACGTCAGCAATCCAAAACTGACTGAGTGTTACGCGTTGAAAACTGAATTCTCATGATTTGTATTTCATTTCTAACATCAGCCAAGAAGAACATATAGGACAGGATTTGAAATATTTTTTTTTACAGAGAATGATAAGAAATTTTTTATAAGCAAGCTTTGTTCATGTTGAAAGATAGTCTAATTGAGTTGATCGATATCATGACGCTTTTCGAGAAGAGAGATCAAATTTGTTAGCACAGATTTTTTCCTAGGACGAAATACTTAGTAACGAATCAAATAGTTTAGCTGTTATATTTCAAGTTTTTATTTAAACTTAACATAGCAACGCTCTGAAAAAAAAGCAACTTCAGTTCATTTAAAATTATGAAGCAGTTTATACTAGATGGTTGAGACCCTTTTAAAAATTCATTTAGTTGCCTTGACAAAAATCAACGCTTTTTTCATAAGTTCTTGTAGAAAATTTACGAAAATTGTTATGTGTTAAAACCGTGCAACGTATGTGTATCTTACAAGGTTTTTTGATAAATTTGTAGGTTCTTTAAAGTTACCCTTAGATATCTCATGCTTGAACAAAAAATTTGTCTGCGAATGTTTGCGCTGTAAGACCTAATAAGATCTTGTAAGTTTTTTGTCATATTTATCAATACATAGAAATTCTATATGTACATGTAAGCATTACGAGGCCAAACAAGTCAAAAAAAAATTTTCAGCGGAATCCGAAACGTTGCTAGTTATTCTTGATCGTCTTTGCTAATTTGGATTCCACGAACAAATAGCCAAAAACTGTATTGCTCGAAACCTCTTAAAAAACTGACGAATTTGAGGATTTCGCAACAAAAGTTGCGGCATTCACTTACATTAACGGAATCTTGAACAAATAGTTACATTTAAATTAAACATGGTCCACTTACATTTTGCAACAAGTTTGTTCTGAATTTTTTGCCGGTCATTTCATTTGATAATTTTTCAGCTTTTTCAAATTTTAATTCTGAAGTTTTTACACGCAGTTTTCTAAATTTTTACAAGACACTAAAATTCTATAAGTGAACTTACCAACTACAAAAAAAAATTTTCAAGTTCAACTTTTGAGCTAAAATGTTTTTGGTATTTATAAACTTTCAGATTTTCTGCATAACTTGTAACTCCGCCCTATCCCAAACCGTATAAGTTTTTCAAGGCAGACATTCGATTTTGATTAGTGTTATCATCGGTTCAAATTAACAAACAAGTAAGTTATTTAAGAGCTAGGTGTGTCACATGGTGCACAAATAATGGTGGAAAAGGCAAATGAAAATTAATGGAGCATTGACTTTCCCTAGCCATTAATTTCACTGACAAAACAAGACGCAGCAAAAAATTCTTTTTGCTAGCCGATCGATTCAATCAGTTATCTGAAGGAAATCTTCTTTTCATCTCCACTTTTTTCCGCTTGTTGAAGCATATTTGGTCATAAGTGCTATTATCGGTAACTTATAATGCAGATTAAAACTACCACAAAGGATTTGCAAAAGTGCGATTGATATGTGCACTTTAATATATATAGTTACTTGTTTGTAAATGTAATGATTCCTAGACATGTTTTTATTAAACAAGAGGTTATATGAAATTAACATGTTCTGCGGGAAAAAATAAAACCAATTTACTGGCATGAAAATCTGTTGTCGCTATCATTTTCAAACAGGAAACTCGTTTTTGTTGCTAAAAAAAATAAAAACTCTTTTAGTTGAATTGTACCTTTTTGACAATAAGCAGGAAACAACCTATATTGAAACTAAATTGAAAAGAAAGTTCAATTGAATGAAACTCTGAAACGTTAATGGAACGAAGCCAATGAAAAAAAAATGGAAAACAGTTAATGAGAGCATTTCAGTTTTTCAAGAGAAGAATTGCTATCGGTTATGAACAGGATTTATCTCAGTGAACGCCTTAATCTGAAAAAAAACTTTCTCAAATTAGATATTGACCTTACAAAGAACTTTCTAAAATTAGAGTTACGTGTGTTGTGTTGACTACTTTTTTGAACTAAATTCTTTAACCATAGTTTTTTCAGGTCGTTAAATTGAGATATTACATTATTCTATAAAATATATAAGTATCAAATGTTTTGCGCCGACTTTCAGAGAAAAAGGTTGAATACTTATGCTACCCGTACCGAGAAAATTCTTTACTTTTGACCTAAAATACTTTATATCAAATCAAACTTCTGACCAGAAATTCTTTTTGAAATGTTAAGATAAAGCAGGGATAAAGCAGGGTTGGTTGCGCTTTATCCCCTGACCTTTTTTAAAAGACAGTTGTGCTAACCACTATGCTACAGCCCTTATGAAGGTTGCTAGTTTTAGCAAAACAA